GGGAAAGCGTAATGAGGATAGTTGACACCTTGCGCTCCACCTCCATGTTTTCCTTCTTTCCGTCAACTGCCTCGTACTCGTCGCGGATGATCTCCGACGAGATGTCGGTCGTCTGGTGCAGGCCGACCACACGACGCTTCACAATCTCCGCAATGTTCACCGCGTTGTGGATGGCGGCACCCATGGCGCTGATCTTGATCGTGTCGTGCTGTGTCTTGCCCTCCTCACCGCGAAAAAGCGAAATCGCATACGTAATGTAGCTGCGCTGGCCATGTTTTGCTGTCACACGGATCTCGTTTTCAGGTCCTTGACCCTTCTCCTTCTCGCCGTCGTTCTTGCGAACACGACGGTACTCGTCACGAGGCGGATACGCGGGCATCGTTGAAGTGTCTCCGAAGTACAGAATGGCTTAAACCCTTGTTTACTAAGCCAATGTTTAACAGTAGATTGCTGAGAATGTGAAGGAAAAAAAAATGAGAAGATCAAGGAGAAAGAAATCAATGAGAGTTAATACGGTATCGTTGCTCGAGGATATTTTCACTCATTCCTTTTCGTGTGTTTGTGTTCCCCGCTGCAGACTTGTGGAGCAAAAAGAAAGAGCCAGGATAGTGTGGCAAAAAAGATGGAAATAGGGACAACAACACATGCAAGAAAAGTCACTTTTCAGGCACATTTTTCACCCTCCACCCCACTACCTCTCCTCCCCGTCATCACTGTTGTCTTTCTTTTTGAAATTGTGTTCCTCTCTCACATTGCATTCTCCGCTCTCTCTTTCTTTTTTGTTCTCTTTTTCTCACTCTTTTTTTGTGTCTTTTTTGTTGTTTTCTTCGAACCCTCCAATATTTTTCTTCTTTTTTTAATTGTTTTTCTCTCATTCTCTGCTGGGGGCCAGCATTCATCCTGTTCTGCTCCTCCTTCTTTTAGTTTTGTTTTACTTGTTTCTCTCTGACGTCCCCTCGCAGAGTCACCCTCCTCTTCTTCGTTAGCAAGGTTAGTCTCCGCCGCTTTCAGCTTTCTTTTCTTCGTTCCTCTCCGTGTTTTCCCTTCTTTTCTTTTTGCCCCACGCCCCCGCCGCCAACCTCTAGACAGAAAGCACGGGAATACACCGGCACAACAAGAAGACACCGAAGGAATGAGGCAAGTACACTTACGAGGTGGTTTCCGCATCACTTCACTCCTTCAGGTTTTATTTACTCCACCACTCCTCCATATACTTCTCATTTTAAATAAATAGCGGGGAGTTTCGTTCTCTTCAATTTCATCTTTCAATTTTATTTGTGTGTGCAGATTCGCTTGTTTTCCCTCTTTTTATTTCCCCAAATTTTGTCTCGCCTTCTCGTCGTGGTACATATACGCTTACTGTGCATGTCTTTTTTTCTCCTTTTATTTCCACGGTTGCCGCGGCGAGACGGGCCTTGATGCAGGGGATGCAACCACAGCCACGCGCAAAGAGCATAATACCCTGGCTGAAGCGTAGATAGGTAGAGAGATTAACAATGCTGATGTTGATGCGTGTGGGTATTGACTGAAGTGATGAGGGGCAGATGTATATATGCGTGCGTGCGCGTGTTGTTGTTGTTTTTTTTGTGTGTGCCCCGCACCCTCCCCACACAATGGGCACCGAGCACACAACCAACATGTTTTTTTTTTATTTCGTTCTCCCCTCCTCCCCGCCCTCTGCAAAGTACAAGTACCAAAAACATAAACAACAAAACAAAAAAAACGATTGCCCCTTCCACCCCATTCAAAATGCATTCATTTTCGCCTCCCCGTCAATAATCATGGTTAACAAAAGCCCCACTCCACATAAAAAATACACGGCAACCCAAAACAAGAATAAAACCACAGCAGTAAGAAGCGGCAGACGTCGTGTGAGGGTGGACATGGGACCATCAAGAAGCAAGAAAAACAAAAAGGAGAAAGAGAAGCGGGTAGCGTAGAGGAATAACTCACCACCTTTCCACTATCCCCGGCCCCTTACTCTATTATTTCTCGCAATCATAGGCCCACGCAAACCAAGGCTGCACCCTACACGCACACTCACACAGAACCAACTTCACGCGCAATAACTATCCATGTCAACGGCAGCATGCCCTATTTTTCTCAACCCGTTTTTTGGTACAACCGCCACAACAGCTCCAGTCACTCCTCTTTTTGTGTTCACACGTTCGTTCTTACTATGGTCGACGTTCGTTTGATCCCACGTTGCACGGTACACATCTTGTTTTCTTTCCAAAAGGCTTCCTTCTTTGTGTCCGTTGTCCTCAGCAAGCTGCTCTATTCCGCACGATACCTCCTCCCCTCCCCTTCTACGCATGCCTCCCTCAATCCCACACTGAGAAAGCAATCGGCCTAGGCGTCGTTTTTCTCTTCACTTTTCGTTCTGTTTTTCCTGCGTTATGCTTTTTTCTTAGTGAGTGTGCTGCACCTTGTTCTCCTTCTTCATAGCGGTCTTTTCTCCTGCTGCCGCTGCAGCTGCCGTCGTTGTTTTCCACGTAAAGGGTCCTAGAGTGTACTATTTGTTTAGTAAATCATATTGATAATCCTCGTCTTTTTCTTGTTCTCCACACAACATCAACTCCATTTTCATTTTTCTACGTTCCTTTTTCGTTGTTCTTTTCCTTTCCCTCCTTTTTTTTCGCTCCTCCACGCACCGTATTGTCTCCACGCCACTTCCTTGATAAGACGTACGAAACACACACCACGGCAGGGTAGGAATGATAGTTCCCCGCACCCAATAAAATGCATTTGCCTTTCTCTTAGTGTTTCCTTTAAGCCGAACTTCGGCCCTTTTTTGATTTCATCCTCGTTTTTTGGGCCCGAAATTTTCGCCAGCCACCGCGTCAATCTACACGACGATCATTGCGACGATCAGGGCCGCCTCGAGCCCCACCACGCGATGATCCACCACGGCCACTGCCACCACGGCCATTGCCGCCATGTCCACCGCGGGAAGCGCCGGGGTTGCTGCCGCCACCGCGCTGTCCCCCACGCGAGGAACCGCGACCACGGCCGCTGCCAGCGTTGCCTCGGTCCCCGCCACGGCCCACACGGTCGCCGCGCTCACCGCGCTCACCGCGTTCACCACGTTCACCGCGTTCACCACGTTCACCACGATTGTGGTTCCCACCAGCAGCCTCACCGGCCTCAGCCTCCTCCTGCTCCTTCACCTCTGACTCTGGCAGAGGTGGCTGGTAGCCAACATGGTTCTTGTCGAGGGGTTTGAGGGAAAGCGTAATGAGGATGGTTGACACCTTGCGCTCCACCTCCATGTTTTCCTTCTTTCCGTCAACTGCCTCGTACTCGTCGCGGATGATCTCCGACGAGATGTCGGTCGTCTGGTGCAGGCCGACCACACGACGCTTCACAATCTCCGCAAT